ATAAATGCTCGTAATCAGACTGTTAAAGTAATATGTAAACAGGGATAGTGGGTCAGTAACTATTCTATGGCAAACAACACAGACGGGTGATTTATAACTGCTTTTAAGATAATGGCTGTAAATAGTGACGTTGGTTCTCAAATAGGAAAATGAGCATGATTAAAAAGAAGTGTATTTCTCTAAAATTTCAATAGTAACACAAAAATTGGTAAACTTATCATTTTTGAAGATGACATTTTATGCTGGAAGCTGCCGTGTAAAAACCCACTGAAAATTGGAAAACATGTTCAACACTTAATCTGTGACATTGGGCTTTCGAACTTAATAAACAAAAACATTTTATATGTAATTTTTTGATAAGGTAACGTTCAGAACAGTACAATTAATTATGTGATAATAGAGATAAAAAAAAATACTACTTTGTTGTGTAACGAAACAAACATCTGTAGTCTCAGCATCTAATAATTTTCTTAATGCATTGTATGGCTAAGAAAACCTAAACATATTGGTGCTTCTTTTGGCACATCATTGTTCAGATGAACACTACAAAGATATCGGGTGTTTTGGGCACACGGACCACAGTGACATCTCTCCTTAAAACTTGGCAGCAGAAAATCAGTTTAGCTAACCTGTGATGCTCGGATCTTACCATATTATAAAAATCCATCTTTCTGTCAACACCATTCAAAAGACAGAAAGGATTATATCGAAAATTATTATTACATGTTTTCTTGTTTCACAATCGGGTATTTTGACGGTAGTGACTTGTTAGAAGTTTAAACAACATAAATAATTTCTTGTATGCTTTAACGTAAACTTTCTGTAATTTTTAAGCTGAAAAGCTTGGTTAAATGGCTGATGTTACCAAACATTTAAAGATTTTAACCATAAAGATAGACATTCACACACTAAAATTGATTAAGGCAGAGAACAGCTACGCAGAGTTAAATTCCTTTATGTAGATAAATGCAACTTTATTGAATTGTGACAAATTAGACAACCTTTGTTTTACACCCAAACGTAAAAAGACTTGTTTTAAATTATTATAAAGTATAAACCAGTAAGGTAAAACAGTTTTAAATTAAACAATCTTTGTTTTACACCCAAATGTAAAAAGACTTGTTTTAATTATTATAAAGTATAAACCAGTTTTAAATTAAACAATCTTTGTTTTACACCCAAACATAAAAAGACTTGTTTTAATTACTATAAAATAATTTTAATAAGTTTCATTATCTACATCAAACTAATAAAAGCAATTAATTTTATATGTATAAGGTTTTCGCTATATTCTTAAGATTTATTGCATTACATACTTCACAGGTTCTCAACTTGGGGTGTATCATAACTTCTTGAGAACATAAAAATTTTAAATGTACAGCCTAGTGTTGTGTTCACTAGACCTAACAATTCAAGAAAAATTGGTTAATATTAACAACCATCAAGATGCACAATACACATCTATTTTTCCATTATTTGTAATTCAATAAAACTTGGTTGTTGTTTTTTTTTCCCAAAATTCTTTCAAATAACCTTTACTCATGTTTTTGATGAGAGAGGTTGTATTTACTAAAATTCTTCTTGTCATCTGTCTCTGTCTTTTTCTTCAAAGACATAAAATACATATCCTTCAATTTGTAGAAATGTACCTAAAAAGTTATTTTCTTCGTTTAACATACAAACAGCTTGTTCACCTTGTAGTGTTGTTTCTGTACGTAAAATTCCTAAAAATGTATGTTTTATTTAGCTGTTGTGCATATCTATAAAATCTTTTTTCAAAATGTCAACTAAAATCTGTAACAAGAATTTTACTTAGGTTAAATATGATATAACAGCAATACTAATACTTCCTCACATAACTTGAAACACCTTACAGTCAGTTCTGATATAAAGACTAAAAAAATCCTTCTACAGTTAGGTTTCTTAAGCCTGTAATCACACCCTACAGTTTTTTTAAGATTCCATCCACTTATCATTGAAACTTTTGGGATGATACTAAACCCTATCATGCCTCTAATACTACAACTTGTTTCTAACTTGCAAATAAGATCATGTGCATGAAACATCAATCAAAATACCTAACTCATCCAACTCCTTTTTGTAAAGAAGTATGAGATTTCTCAGTGCAAAGTTAACAAATACTCATTTCTTTATACCAAGTATCACTTCAGATAAAAGTAAATTAATCAAGCTTTAAGGAATGAAAGAACCACAGTACGTGTGGCTGAAGCTTGCTGGATAAAAACAACAGAATATAAAAATTGTTCTGGCTCGTGGTTTAGCAGTACATTTCTGATACAGTTAGTTACGAAAGACTGACTGACGAACTAAAGATTAGTAAACTGGCTTTTTTTGGGTGATGCAAGTACCAAATTAGGTCTGAACTAAAGCTTAAAATTGCAAATGTTTTGACACACCCTGTCTCTTTAAAGTAGTTGAGGTCAAAATTTAACAACTTAATTTTGTAAAATAAAACATACTGATTTGATTTCATACCTTAAAAAAAATGTGTTCTCACATGAACATAATAATTGATAATATGCTGTTTAAAACATCTTAAAGACCACTATGTACGGTACTGTGGTTCATAAAAAACAATGAATATACACTACCTTCAAACAATAAAACGTATACTGTACAAATATACTAATATATATTTTTACAATTTATTTCATGATTAGCTAAAAATCTTTCTTGACGAATGATTGATATTCACCAAAACCTCAAACTCACAGTAACCCCACACAACCTTTAACATGTTAAAGTCACTCAGACATTCAAAAAGAAATTGCACATTTATACAGATCACAACAAAATGAATAGTTGTTTGATTCACAAATCAAAAATCCCCCCCCCCTAAAATATTAAACCAGCTTGATGTGTTGGTGACGATTTTAAGTCCCCCTAGTAGAGGTAGAGAGTGCCTGATCAAAGCATGAAAACAACACAGGTTACTTACACAATTCACTCACCCACCAACTGCTCTAAAAATTTTATCTAGCTAGCAGGATCTACACAGTCTCTTGATTGAAATAAGTTAACATGTGTATCAATCTTCTAACCTCAACCGGCCACAAGAAATAACACTCTACTCTCACTAAACACCACGATATGGCAAGCTCACCAGAAGAAAAATAACATTCTGATAATCATGACAAATGTAATTTCTTATTCTATACCATTAATGAAGTCCACTTGTCAAAAGTAACTCTTCAACATTAGCAAAAAAACTGTTGATCCCAAGGTAAAAATCATTATGTTTAAAATACACAACTAATTATTTATGTATAAGTTCGATACTGTTGAACATAACATCAGAATACATAATTAATTATTTATGTACAAGTTCGATAGTATTGAACATAACATCAGAATACATAATTAATTATTTATGTACAAGTTCGATAGTATTGAACATAACATCAGAATACATAATTAATTATTTATGCATAAGTTCGATAGTATTGAACATAACATTAAGAATGCACAACTAATTATTTATGCATAAGTTCGATAGTATTGAACATAACATCAGAATACATAACTAATTATTTATGTATAAGTTCAATAGTATTGAACATAACATTAAGAATACATAGCTAATTATGTACAAGTCCAATACAATTGAACATAACATCAGAATACATAACTAATTATTTATGTATAAGTCCAATACTGTTTACCTTAATGTTAGAGATCAAAATTTTTACACTGACATATTACACATTTTTTGGCTTTGAAACTGATTCTACATATGCAAAAATTTAATTTTTTTACATATCCATGATTTTTAAAAACAAATTAACAGGTTAATTGTTGGGATTTTCTTTTTTACAATATTCAGAAATATTATAAGTTAATTTCACATTCAAAAATGTGACAAGTATTTCTAAGCTGAGAACTTTATAAGTTCTTTAACATTCAACAAATTTGTAGTCACTTCTGTATCAAAAAACGTTTTCATGAAGCCTCATCGATGGGTATATTCACATTACAATATGTTAAAACTCTTTGGTGAACCCTTCAAATAAAAAAAACGTTATGGTTACATACATCAACTACTGAGGTCCCGCCAAAGCATGTTTCAGTTCTGTTTGCTGGAGTACTGGATTTGGTTGCCCAACAGCTTGATGCGGTTTGTCCACAGATGGCCCTGGCGGCTGGCTTATCGTGCCAGCTTGGTGCTGTTGTTTAGGGGGTGCTAACATCTGTTCTCTTTCCTTGTCTTTTCCAGGTTTGTACGCTTCCAGTAGAGAATCTACTTTGTCTTGTGTCGGACCCCAACGAACAAAACCTGCATCGTTTTGCAGGAAAACCACCACCGTGCCGTGTGAGGAAAGCCAACTACCCTCACCCCTGTCACATACAAATCACGAGTTACCTAAGCTTTCGAAAAATCTACAACAGATAGTAATATATGAAAGAACTAAAACAAAATACAGGATGACACGTTCTACAAAAATAAAACTAATGAGAATATTTTATTATTTATAATATAACTTTCATGTCGATATTCTGCATACATTCGTAATTAAATTTTCTGACATTTACTGGAAAGCTACATTTCTATTCATTCAGTAAGAACACCAAAATTTCAAGTGTCACATAAAGACTAATCAGTACATAGTACATGCTAACAAATTCCTTCTAGCACAGTGTTTCTCAACCGCTAGTCTATGGACCATTATTGCCAGTCCATTATATCCAACCTGCCAGTCTGTGGGACTTCACAAACAAACAAAATATTCATTTGGAAATTGCAATAGTTTTTCTTTGTACTTGAGTTTTAGTAGTCCACAACAGTTTAGTAGTCCAACCAAGTTGGTCCCTAATGTATTAAGTCCACAATTTTTGTTAAGCTTACAGAAATGCCACTTTTTTCTTGTGCAAGCCATGAAAATATTTAAAAAATCTTATGCTACTGATTAAGCCTACTTCAAGATCAATGCCACACTGATGATTAACCAACTGACTGCAGATTCGCCGTGGGAATTCTTGCAAGCCATACGCTGTATACAGTACACTAACATTCAGCTGCCAGAAGCGTCGCACGATATGGTCCGCTTCTGGCAGCTGAATGTGAGTGTACTGTATACAGTGTATGGCTTGCAAGAATTCCTCACACGATATGGTCCGCTTCTGGCAGCTGAATGTTAGTGTACTGTATACAGCATATGGCTTGCAAGAATTCCTCACACGATATGGTCCACTTCTGGCAGCTCAATGTGAGTGTACTGTATACAGCGTATGGCTTGCAAGAATTCCTCACTCATTTAAAGCAGCCACAGTCAAAGGATTAATAGACCATTTATATCTTAAAAGTTATTCCCTGGGACAGCTTAAATACTTCTTACGTCAAAAATTAATCATAGCCTTTTTTAAAAGAGCATCTTGAATTCTTCTATTACATAGATTTCAAAGATAAACCAGCCACATTTATTATGCAAAATTGAAAAAAATATATTTGGAAGAAATATCTTTAAACTAAAAACATTAAGTTTTAAAAACAATTCATGATGTAAATAGAAAATACACAATATAAGAAAAATAGAGATTAATCACTTACCGAATACTGAGGTGCTGGAAACCATGACGATATTCATGTTCAAAAGCAGGGATTAGAAGTTGCTTTCTTTTGAATCTAAAATGTAAAGGAAAAAAAAAAAGGTGAAAAAATACAGCACTGAGAAATTTTGTAAACATTTTCATAGTGTATATAATTAGATTAAAATTAATACACTCTTTCTATGGATTGACTGAAAACTCCTAAAAGTTGTACGAAGAATTAAGTCCAACTCAATATACACAGTTACAGAATGTGTAAAACTGAGACTAACTCATTCTGAACAGTTATAAAACGTGTAATACTGAGATTAACTCCTTCTAAACAGTTATAGAATGTGTAAAACTAAGGCTAACTCATTCTGAACAGTTATAAAACATGTGTAATACTGAGACTAATTCATTATCAACAGTTATGGAACATGTACAACTAAGGCTAACTCATTATAAATGGTTATGGAACATGTACAACTATGGCTAACTCATTATAAACAGTTATGGAACATGTACAACTAAGGCTAACTCATTATAAACGGTTATGGAACATGTACAACTAAGGCTAACTCATTATAAACAGTTATGGAACATGTACAACTGTGGCTAACTCATTATAAATGGTTTTGAAACAAGTACAACTAAGGCTAACTATTACAAATGGTTATGGAACATGTACAACTAAGGCTAACTCATTATAAATGGTTATGGAACATGTACAACTGTGGCTAACTCATTATAAACAATTATAGAACATGTACAACTGTGGCTAA